GGCACTGACTCACCTGCTGATTCCAAAATGCCGCAATGGCCCGAGGGTCCCCACGCTCATTGCTGCCCGTTACATTTGCGTGCGCGACGACAACACATTGCTGCCACGCGTTTATTGCCGTACTGTCCTCATGCTGCACGTAAATCATCTCCCACGACAAGCCCTCCGCAAAAGTTTCCCAGCCATTAAAATAACTCCGTGGAAGATCGTTGAACCGCCTCACCGTGCTGGTTCTGGTGCCATGTTCAGCCCTCGTCGTCTCACCTGCACCGCAACCATCGTCCTCCGCGGTGCGCCAACGAAGAAAAAGGCGTCCACAAACGGAAAATCACTGCTCTCCGGTACGTATAGCACCTTGTATTGTGCATCCAACATCGGAGGAGTGTGGTCCAGCGTTATTAATGCAACGGGTCTGCTTGGATGCTTTTCGGGGTTCGATTGCAGCACACATCTCTGTCGCCGACGACGTCCTGGTGGAGGCAACTCGCTGAGACCCGGCATTATATTTTCCACAAAGACTCTACGAAGCAGTGCGTGCAGAGTATGCCGCCCCAAAAGTTCCGGCAACAACACTCTCCGGTACTTCAATACTCGATAAATAATGTCATTTTCCCCCATCCACCTCGAGCAACCCTCCAATTAATTTGCTTCCAATGGAAAAACAGACCGGCAGGTTAACAAACGCCTCAAGACCGCCCTGTGTTATTGCTCTGACAGCCTTCATAAGTTTGTGAGAAGCGTCATTCGAGGGCCGCATTCCCATGCCCCCAATCATCCCATAATGTACAGCATCTGAGGCGTCGATAGCTGCCACGATGCTATTGGTTTCCTCCACGCGGTCCTTATACTTATCGTCATGAAAGATGCATCGTGGAATCGGTCCGACGTCATCCATGCGCATGTGCATCCTTCTCCAATACTCCACCTGCTCCTCTTCAGTCGTATTGCGCGTCCTCCACGCATGCACTGCCTTCACGTCGCTTTCATCGGGGCAATTCATGATGGTTTTGATAGCACCCTCCTGCTTCGCCCATGCTTTGAAGTTATCTTCGTGCGGGGATGACAACATAATGATGCCCCACTCATCGGAGGGCACAACATCATTCGATGGCTCTTGAAAATGTCTTGCCATATCGATGATAATATACCCTTTCCTTCCACTCCTAGCCAAATTTACCATAACCCCTCTAATATTACTCTCACCCCTGTATTCTGCCACCGTTCGTGCCCTCTTGTCAAACAAGTATGCAAAATCCCTTCCAAAGCAGTACACAACCACATGGAGCTTCGTGGCGTCGTGGTGCAGCAGCTGATAAAGGAGGTAGGAGACCGGCCGCCATCGACTTCCCTACGCCGGGGGTTCCAACCAAAAGACGGCGTCTCATGTATGGTGGGCCTCTCTCTGTGGAGGGAGAAACACTCCTTTTACATCACCCTCGACGATCTTCCACACCCGATGCACCTCAATGTTAATGTAGCAGTAGGCAATAGGCACTGCGTGGTTCAGCGAGTACGGTCATTGCTTTTCAGAGGAAAGGACCATGAGTCGTGGGCGTGGTGGATCGAATTGCCCCTCACCACCCACTGGGATAAAAGTACGCACAGTCTGCGTGTACTCCCATAACTCCTGTGGCCGTTGGCCCTCCATCACCTCCATGTCTTCCCCTTCGCCCTCGGGAAACCCCACGACGTGACTCCACGCTGCGTTAAACACGGATTTGTGGAGTCCCTCCGGTAATGGTCGTCTGGGAGGTTTTTATTTCTTTTTCCTGTGTTGTCTTCTCTGTCTCTTCCGTCTGCTGAAGAGCTGCATCGAGCTTTACGCACGCAATAGCAGAGACAATACTCCTTATCTGTAAATTCCCTTCCAGTCTTGCAGCGTGCCCACCATGCGCTCTGTGAGTCTGCGGGCATCTTCAAAAAGCTGATACCCTGGTGGAATCGAGGATTTCCCCTCACGACGCCTCTGCTCTGTAACGTACCTGTCTGGCCCACGCACAAACTCCTCCATCACCACATTCTGGTCTTCACCCACCGCTCTGTTGGGGCCAACGTACTGCCGAAGGAAGTCTCATTCAGCAAAATTCTATTGATTTGGCCAACCCGCACATTACGGGCACCCTCGATAGAGCTTGCACGCGTTCTCCTTGGCCGCTACGGCGCTCCTTCCACCCTTCGGCGCTGCGCGGAGGCTCCTCGGTGGCGTGAGATTCTTCCTCGCGTCTCTCAGACATGTTTTCCTTCGTAGTGGTTAACTTGAGTTGAACTGCAGCACAATACTCAACCAGCAGTCAAAAGGGAGAATGAAATTATTAAAAAAAACAGGCAGAGACACGACTCCACGCAGCCGCAACGAAAACAAGAGAGAGAAGGCCACCCACACACGGCACGCGGCGCACACCTACACAAGCAACGAGGGCAAATTGGATCTCCCTAGGCAAACCGTGCAAATTGCACAGCACACACAACAACTGCGACGACGCTTCTCTCCTCTTCTCGTATTTCACTTGACATTCGGATCCCCACAGCTCTGTGTGTGCGTAGTCACACGCAAATATCACCCACTCACAGTGAAATTGACTGCCTCGTCGCGGTGGCATTTTGCGCTGCAATTCGCTGAGGTGCGAAGGAGCAGAACACCCGCCGCCTCTTCGTTCATCCGTGAAAAGAAGGAGGGACGCCGCTGCATTGCCCCCCGCCACGCAAATATACGCTGCGCCCAGCACGTGGTGCGGTGCACGTAAATTCCGCGAGGGAACTGTTTGCCACACGACTGGGCCGCACAGGGCGCAGCCTGCGAAGGCAGCCGCAGACACCTCCGTTTTATTCAGTCGTCGTGGCGGTGGAACCCGCAGATTGTCAGACGCCGGCACATTTGCCCCCGAC